TATATATAATTTTTTTAATTTCTTTTTTTTATATATATATAACATTTCTGTCCCCCTCACTTCTGAAATGATGGCTACGCCCCTGCTCTCAAGTACTGATACTGTATGTGGACATTTAACATCTAACAGTTTACTACAGTTTTTCAGCATGAACACTAAACTGAAAGAATTGTCTTTAATTTCTTGATTCTGGAAAAAGTTATCAGATCAGGCACATTACTTTTGACAATTTCAGCAGAGTTTTTTATTTTTTGTAATTTGAGACTACAAATGACAAAAAAATTAAAAAGAAAATTTTAAACAGCTACTATAGAGTCAGATGATAAAAAAAAGGATCTCACAAGAAGGAAACCTACATCAATATAATAATCCTAGTATTGTGGAAAATCATTTTGCATAAAAATTGGATTATGGTATTACCAGGTAAACTCTAATGTAGAAATATTGACGTAATGAACAGTTTATTAATTTTGATGGGGCTCTTTCTTGGGTGTTGGTGGAGGATGGGATTTGAGCAGCTCTTGTCAAGTCACCTGTCCTCCTGGGTCCACAAGTTTTTAATGGATTCTTAGATGATTTTATTTTTGTCGACAAGGAAAAACGAAAATGAAACTTGACACAGGGCATCTGTTTGTGGAGTTTATATATAAGAGAAGGAGAATTATATTATAAATAAGGAGAAATGTATAAATATTTAAAGTAATATTTAAAGTAAGTATGGCAATGCAGCAAATGACGACCAATCAGAGGTCAATATGCTATTATGGCGAAAACGTTGTCCTCGTCCAATTGCAAAGCGACGACCATTTTCAAATATGTATTTAAATACATAACACATATAAAAATGTAATCTTAGAAGATGAGGAGTGAACAAAGGAGTATCTTCAGGAAGAGGACCCTTCCCAGATAGCAGACCAACATTGAATCAACGCTGAATCAATGTTAATGCATCAACCAAATTATCATTGAATCAATGTTGAAGTTTAAAGGGGTCATATGATTTTTGATTACACAATGATACATGATGGAAAAAATGCACTGACTAATTCGGACAACAAGAAATCATGATTTTCAGCTATTTAAGACACTTTTTGCAAAAAATATTATATTGTTATGGACTGTAACATCTTGTAATTCATAACAATGAGTAACACAGTATTAAAATAATGAAAAATATAACCATTTGAAAAAAGCAGAAAAAAAATATTGACTTCGGACACCAAATGTACATTCAATTATAGAATCACTCAGAAGCACTATCTGTAGTTTTCACAAAAGCCCCTAAAGACAGTCCTTAGCTATAGATCCTTAGTATTAGTTTTTTTTTTTTTTTTGCAACTGGGCACAAATCCTAAATGCATAAATGATCAGACAATAAAGTTAAATATCATAAGACACTTTTACCAGCATTAATCAGCTTTAATTACATATCTCTGTACATTTATAAACTTTTACATCATCCACAGTTTATAGGTTATAAACAAACACTACTGCTTAACAGGGTTAACTAAAAGTTCAGCGATTTCAGTTCGGTCACTTCAGTGGATCTTCTGGAACTGGATCTTGGCACATCCGTTTTGGTCAATTCGTGCACAAAGCATAGAAAGAGGG